GCAAGAGGACGCTACTAGGAGCAAAGGGCATCGCTACTAGGAGCAAGCTACTAGGGGCTCCTGGCATCGCTAAACGAGCGTTGTCCAAAAAGCAAGGCCGGCGGACCTTTCGCTCGATGGTCCACGGACGTCGGCGTTCGCTCTGCCTCCATCTGAAGCCCATTCCTGCACTTTTTGAAGCCACTGCATCAGAAGGCCAGCCTCTTCCTGGCAAAATAGAGCGAACTGAGAGAGAATCCCAAATAGAGTGTTTCAAATGATCGATAAGTTCTGTGGTTTTTTTGGAAGATGCTGTGCAATGGCATGACTTGCTGTCTAAGGAAGCTAGGCTTAGTTGCTTCACTGCAGGATTTGCAAAAGGAATGCCCGCAGTTCATTTGGCAAATCTCACCCTCTTGCTGCGCCTGGGAGAAGCAGCTCAGGCACAGTTCGCAGCAATCGCGGCCAGCGACGTCGACCCATCGCTGCAAGCACCGCTGGTGCATCAGCGCCACACTACCTCCAGGTCGTGGGGCATAATCCGTTGACAGCTTTATGCACCGAAAACCCGACAACTGGCATCAAGAGATCAAGAGTTCGGAAATGTGGATGACCTCAACACAGTACCTGAAATAAACTGGCAGAATGGAGGAGATGGATTCTGCTGGTTCTTGTTAGAATCACTCGCACAAAACGGGTTTCACCAGAAGAGCCACGCCTTTGCAGTCGCAAAAGACTCCCAGCAAGTCGCCGGAGTTCTCTTGACAAATGCGACACACACAATCCTCCTGCAAGGGGAAGAAGACGATTCGACCGATTGAGGGATAATGTACCGGTATCATTCTTCAGGTGTTGAGTCACACATTGGTCTGTTGAACTTCACGTTAAATACCAAACAAGTAACAAGAAGCTAGTAGTAACAGGTGCCCACTTTGGTTCCATCAATTGAACCATTTTGAAACAAGCGTTGCAAGAGTCGTCTCAGACAAGCCTTTAGGAGCTGAAGCGACCATTGGGGAACGGTTGATCCGTTTTCCACGTCTAACGAAGTCACGGACGTGTCAGGCAAGCATGGCTTGATTTTCATGTCGATACAAAAGCTGTTCCATGTTGCCATTTGTGTTGGAAATCCAGGAGAAGTGGTCTGCTACCTGCACACTTTGACTTAGCTCTGACCTTCGTCCTTTTCCAAGTCCGTCCCGAACCCTCCCGGACCGTCACCGCAGGGATCTCTCTGGGCACCACGTGCAAAGGAAAACACCAACGTGGCCGTGACCTGAAAGGCTGAACGAGTTTTTTCTGACGCGCTCCTACTCGGAGGCCATCGCTAGTTAGTAGGTTGGAGGTCATCACTATTAAGTTGGAGGCCGTTGGAGGCCATCGCTAGTATAGGTTGGAGGCCATCGGTTTTAAGGCATGCTCCTATCTCATTAAGTAGTTGCCGACTTAGTTAAGTACTAGGCTTCTTTATCCAATGCTACTAGGCTAGTATGCTACTTACTAAGTCTCTTCTTCTTCACACAATTGACAATGACAGTGACCGTGTTCTTTGTCCTGCTCCTTTTCTTGAAGCGACCAAAACACCTGTCGAAAACCGTTCTATTCTCTTCTTTTTGCTGTGTCCCTTTTCTTCAACCTTCGTTGTTCTGCTCTTTTTCTTGTCTTTGTTTCTCTGTTCTTGTTGTGCCCCTCACTTACAAGAGTCATTTCTGTCAGAAAGTATGCCAACCAACCTTACGCTGACAACACATTGGGTCTTGGGTCCTGTTGCTTGTTTGCGTTTTCTTTCCGCTCTGCATAACAGCCTCTTGTGTTCAGTGCCAGTGTACAAACCCTTTTGGTACCCCACCATATTGGCGTCTTTGGATCAGTCCCAAAGCAAGGATACACATGCACCCAACATAGCACAAGGCATGTCGGGGCGACGACACATCCTTTGATGGCACCTTCAGCTACTAGTAGCGTTCTTGCTCCTAGTAGCCTAGTAGCGATGCCAGGAGCCCCTAGTAGCGTCCTTGTTCCCAGTAGAGATTCAGAGATTTCACCTCTTTCTTTTACGTCTTCGCCACTCATCTTCAGTGAGGAATTCGTCCCAGAATGTGTCCTCGTCTCTGTCTTCCATGATGCAAAGTTTGGCCACTCAACCAAAGATCAAAGATAGACAGAAAAAGGAACGAAAAGAATAAAGAACAGCTTCAAGGAAGAGCATGACATTTTCGACCTTGTTGGAAAGTGACCCATATGGCAGAGCTGTCTAAATCCAGCAGCAAAGGATTGAGGTAGTGGAAAGAACCAATGATTACCTACTGTTCCTGCCTCCTTCAAATCCGCCAAGCCACCAAATCTTCATGGCCACAAGGATGCAGCAAACAACTAGCAGGTAGTAGAGATTCAAGAGCAACTCCTGCGTCCAAGAAGCAAAATGAAGGAAGAAAGGAAGATAGCAGCCCCTAGTAGCGTCCTTGCTCCTAGTAGCGATGCCCTTTGCTCCTAGTAGCGATGCCCTTTGCTCCTAGTAGCTTTTTGCTCCTAGTAGTATGATGAAAAGGGCCAATGGAGTAAAGGTTAACATGTCATCCATGAACTCCTCCATGTCATCCATGTTTGGTGTCCGAGCTCGGATTTCATCGCAACGCAAAGCAGAATGCTTCAATGGGAAAATGGATACATCGCTGATATGCAAGTAACAAACTCCAACATGTTCAAGGTCTTTTGCATGTTTCAGAGCCATCTTCAAGCACTTCGGAAGAATGGACTTGAAGGAGTGTCCCACCTCGAGGATCACAACCAGCAGTGAGCAGAACCATGGCGAAGGTGGCAGCATAGACTAGAACTGGTTGCAACATTCAGGACGGCTGGTATAGTCTTGCTTCTCGGTGGAAAAAAAACAACCGATTCGCTTATCGAGAATTGCTTGATTTGCCTAAATTGCCTAAATTCCACGACCATTCTTAGCATCTGTTTCTTGCAAGCTGACTTGACCCGTGTTCCCATGACTCTGTTATTCATCTGTCGGTGTCAGTCCGGTCTTGCAGTTTCATATCTTGTCTTTCAATGTGTGTTCAATCGGTTGTGTGGTTCGTCGTCTGGGCAGTGATTCCCGCAGAAAAAGAAGATGCAAAATTAAAGGGCTAATTAGGGTTGTCAAACATGGCGAGCAGGAGATTGGTGCATCTAAAACGCAACTTTGGGCCCGAAACACTCCTCAAACCTGAAACACCATGGTACCCATTGTGACAAAAGGCCTTCAACCTTTCTGGTCTCCTTTTCTCCTATCTGTCCTCGTTTCTTTGGGTCTTTGGATCCTACTTCCTTTTCCTGGTTCTTTCGTTACTACTTCTTGTTCTTAATTTATGTGTTCTTTAGATCTGGGTGCCTTCTTTCTTGCTCTTTTGACCTTCCAACCCTTCTGGCTTGTCTCCTTTTCTGCTTAGACCATTCTCTTTCTCTTCTTTATTCAGACCCTGCTGGTTTTCTGTAGGCCTTTAGACCTTTAGCCAGGTCTCTCTAATCCATTTCTTTTGGACCTTACTTTGCTCATCCGTTGCTGATGCTTTAGACTTTATAAGCCCTTCTTTCTTTCACTCGCTCGTCAGATTTGCTCTTCCCGTCCTTTGCCCTGGTGGTCCGGGTCTCTTGGGTTGGAGGCCTTTGCCACAAAATAACAAATTCATAATCAGTTTGCTATTGGGCGGGTCTCTTGGGTTGCTCATGCTCCTCCTCCGCCTCTTTTGCTTCTTCCTTCGAATTAAGAGTCTTTCTCTCTTTTGAAATCTGTTTGGTTCTTGTCTTCTGCAGGTCCTGCACTACTGACTTTCTTGGCCTTCGTCGGCTTCCATCTTCGGTTCATGGCTCTTCCTGGGATTCCCGCTGCTCTTCTCAGTTCCTGGCTCCTTTTTGGTGGCGCTTTTTGCTCTGGCTTTAAGTAGCATCCACTTTGTCGACTGTATTTCTTTCGACCTACCCTTTTGTTGTTCTTGATGTTGTACCTTTGAACGCTTCTTGTCCATTTCCTTTCGACCTTTCTTCTCCCTTTTTTCTAGACCTCTCTCCTTTTCTGAGTCTTCCTTTTCTTGCTACTAGTAGAAGCGATGCACTTGTTACTAATAGCTTTTTGTTACTACTAGTAAGGCACTTGTTACTACTAGCGATGCACTTGTTACTACTAAGCCTTACGGCGCTCACTTTCCGTCTTCAGACCTTTAGACCCGTGTCTACCGACCCATCCGTGTTCGACTCACTCTTCGATCTTTCTTGGTCCTTGGTGTTCCCTTCCGACGCGTTCTTTTCGGCAACGTTCTTTTGTCGTTTGACTTACATATCTGTTCGTCTTTGTCTTTTGTAAACCTTTAACTATCTGATTCTTGCTTGTTCTTTTCTATCGAGGTCGTTTTTCGTGTTTCTCTTCGTCTCATCCGTCGCCTCAAGGGCAAAGTCCAACTTCTGCTGTCGGTGCGTCTCCAAGATTCGGTAGAGCCGAGGGAAGTTGAACCTTCGCCCACGCACCGTTTTTTTTCAGTTGGGCTCGTGTAAAGGAGACGTTTTGAGCTCCAAAAAGGGTTAGGATAAGGACGAAGACCAACAAAGTCATTGTTGCAAATAACCGCTTCAGCACACACCATGAATAAAGACATAAGAAGACTAATTTAGTTGGAAAGGAAAACGCTGCTTTCATTTCCTCAACACATTGCGCCACTTTTCCGCGCAGAGATCGCCCACCTTCGGCCCACTTCCAGGAGATCCATGTGCAAGATCTCTGCCAAGTCGGGGCCCTCACCCAGATTGGGGCCGCTGAAAACAGACTACTAGGAGCAATAAGCTACTAGTAGCAAGGTGCATCGTTACTAGGAGCAAGAGGACGCTACTAGTCACAGAGCGACAACTTTTGGTCCTCTTCCGATCTGTAGAGAACAGCTTTTGAAATCATGTTTGGAACGGGCAAACCTACCATTGCACTAAGGCAACAATAGCATAAACCAGTCGAAGCTTTGCACGGATGGCTTTATGTCCAATCTGGGTCACACCGAGTGAAGGAAGAGAGATTTGCCTAGTAACAAGAAGCTAGTAGAAACAAGTGACACGCTTCTAGAAACAAGTGCCTTACTAGTAGTAACAAGAAGCTAGTAGTAACAAGTGCCACGCTAGTAGTAACAGGTGCCTTACTAGTAGTA